TGACATTAGATCCCCACTATGACATTAGGTCCCCACGATGACATTAGGTCCCCACTATGACATTAGGTCCCCACTATGACATTAGATCCCCACGATGACATTAGGTCCTCACTATGACATTACGTCCCCACTATGACATTACGTTAAATGACATCAGGTCCTCTCTACAATATTAAGTCCCCAAACTGACATGAGGTCCATACAACGATACTAGGTCCCCACGATGAAATTAGGTCTTTATACATGACATTGGCTTCTCACAAGGACAAAAAGGCCCTCACATGCAATTATACTAGGCCTTGAAATAAAAAAGGCATTAGTTTTCGAGGAAAGGTGAAACATACAGTGTGGCAAATTGCTTATTATTGTGAAAGATGCCTGCAGGTAATGACTGTAATTTATTATGATGCAAATGTCTGAAATACAGATTTAATTCATCAGTATTATTAGCTATTATTAAAAGATCCATTGTATAATTATGCAATATGTAGCTCGATCATAACCGACGTAAAATAGAACAACACAATACTTTTGATTTTGGAAGAAGGGGTCGGAATGAATTGCTGGAGTGGGTGGTGGGGGAATGGATAAATACTAAACCAAACAAATTAATGCTATCTAGTCATTTTAAAAAATCAGGTATACGAAATATTTACGATCAGGTAGGTAGGTACGTACGTACGTTTCGTTAATGTTTTGTTATTCTCCGTCCGGCTGATCAGTATTAATTCGTGCCTGTGATATGTCACGATGTTGACGTTTCTTTTGTACTCGCCGCGGGACATCATCCACTCAATTTTAGTTTTTTTATCCACGGAATCGTAGAACACTAAATTTAGCGTTTTACGTTTCAGGGGTTTCGCGATTTTTTTGGATCAAAATTCAAATTTGGGATTTTTGGCCGAATTGACAAATGGGAAACGCGTTTATAATTAATCATAATTGGCGCCAACAAAATAACTGCTCTTATTGCCGCGGCCTATTGTTCTTTTGTTCTATTGTTCTTAGACGGACCATTACCATTCTCGTACCTAGACCTTTCTCACGGAAAAATCGATTTTTTGTTAGAAAGCTGTTAGAAAGCTGAGAAGGCTTTGGATACTTAACTTGGGCAACAATTCGGCTGCCGTAGGAGACTAAATACATATGAAATTGAATTACTTTGGAGGCCCAAAGACGTTTTACTTACAATATTAGAAGTTTAATGTTGTGATCAAATATGC